TTTCTTGGCAGTAGCAAAGTGCTTGTGTGTCTACAAACCATTTACGTTTAAATCTATTCTCACAACTAAACGAACTTTTCGGGCACACTTAATGTTTTTAGGATTTGGTATAGTGGTTCACACTTTCGTGTTTGGGGGTTTAGAAATTGAAGATCAGTACAGTTTTTTTCACAACAGGACCCAGCTCACAGTAATCCTAGCAAGTTCTTACGATAAACTGAGAATGGTGGGTATCTCAGGACAGTCTGTCATAACGCTGTCAAGTGTGGTTACAGTCCTGGTGAGTGTCTTCATCATGAAGCGTAGCCTGAAACTATCAGCACAGTTTCGCCTTCAGAGTACATGTACCTCACAGAAAAACGACAAGACATCTGGTCAGACATTGGTGGCGTCTCTCGGAAAGAAAGAACTTCAAGCTTTGACACAGGTTTACGTCGTCAGTTTGATATTTGTCGTCTGCAACGCCCCACGGATGGTCATCGGCGAGTGTGCGACGTTTATTCCCGGTCTCCAGCTGGGCGGTATGTACAAGTACACACTAATGATGACCTTCTGTGTCCGCCTCACGTTTGAGACTGTCGGTCTGTGCGCCAATTTCTTTGTGTATTACAAGTTTAATACCAACTTTCGCAGGACATTGAAGACTTCGTTTCACAAACAGACAACAACAACTAAAAGAACGCAAGACAAAGAGTGGCGTCAGCAGTTTAACTACCGGAAAGAGCTAGAAAAATTAGGGAAGATACACTCTCTCTTCGTCGTCAGTTACCCGCAGTCAAGTACATGTACAATGTAGTCACCCCCAGCGTTTCTCTGATGATGTGCTGACATTTCGTCATTCTCACCGTGAACATGACAATCTACCCAGAGCGAGGAATCAAGCCTAATGTACAGTGACTTGGCCAATATGTTGGATGTAGCGGACACACGATCATAATGTCCTCTTAGATCACTAAGAAGTATACGTATAAGCAGCACACCACATCTCGGGACGCCATACACAAAGCATGCATGACATTATATCATGACAATAATGTCATGTATTAAACAGTGTGCTGCCTGGCTTTTTAAGGTTCTAATAAAGAAAAGAGAATTGAAAGAATCAACGAAGTTGCGTGTCTTTTTAAAGTGCCCCCAAAGCCAGAGCGTTCTCAAGCGTTGTCGAATGGCCAGGATTTGCGTCCTCAATGAATTACGCTCGTACCTGCAGCAAGTCTGACACGGTACATGTACTCACTCGCCGAGGGTATTTCTAAGAAAACATTGTTGTGGAAATGTAGACGGCAGGGTTCTATGAAACATAAAGGGCGTTGGTTTATAGTCATCTTATAATATATCTATCGACATGCGTGGCGCAAGATTAGCCAACGGTAGGATCGCTAACAGTCAAACAGTTTCCTCTGTTGACAACGCTATGCACATAAATCTACCCAGACAAAGGAGTTAAGTTGAACACACAGCGACTTGTGCAACATGGTGCATCCATTTTATGTAGTAAGATCCTGTACTTAATGATACCAAAGATTTACAAGTACATGAGGGAACTAAATACAAGTTCATGTAATTAAACGTATTCATATATGCAACTAATCTTTGATGAGCCCTAATTATTTTGGATTTTAAGGATAACCAATTATAATTTTATAAAACAGCAGTTTATGTTCCGTTCCTTTCATATCTCTGTTACTTAAGAGCTGGTCAATTATTAAAAAATCTTAAATTTTTTGGTTGACCATCTAATAAAAATGCTATAAAAACTAAGATGATTTAAAATCTTTACGGCATCCTTTTTCTATGTCTTACCGAGTGTAATCAGGCTCATTACTCCCCCCCCCCCCCAATGTACCATTCGTGTTTTTACGCCCCCACCAACACAAATTAGATCATTTAGGAAACGGGCCTCCGACCCTGCCTGTCATATCCAACCGCGGCTGAGAAGGATACAACATCCCAACAGAAAGACCGAGACACTCCAAAAAATTGTTCTCCCCAGTTGGGAATCGAACTCGGGTCTTCTGTGTGAGACAGTGAGTGAGGCACCGACAGGTTCATTGCCGTCAATGATGATGACGTAGGAAGCCACAAGGGGAACGTCAGCGACATTTAACTCTCAATCGATAGGGCTACGGTGTTGTGTTTTTGTGGGGGTTTTTTGTTGTTGTTTGTTTTTTGTTGTTTGTGTTTTGGGTTTTTGGTTTAGCATTCGAGCAAAGGAATGATGTTCAAACCAGGATCAGCGATGTCTATCGGGGGGGTAGATCTAAGTGTTTTACGGCGCTCGCAACTGCATGAGGTTATGTGAGCGCACGGGACACATTAAACATTTTCAGTTTGTAGGTTTGTCAGACCACCAAGGGATCTTTAACGTGCGCAACTTGCAAACAAGACCTCCGAAATTTTTCGCCCTTGTCCGAGAAGGCTAGGAGTAGATCTTTCTTACCCGAAGATTAGTGGTGTGGCTGAAAAACAGCTGCAATAATGGGGCCAAGGAGTAGCAGCAGAAAGGCTGCAGAAAGAATCAGGAGCCCTGTGGAGGGGGCAAAGGAGGTGAGGGGGGTTGGAGGGCAGAAAATGGAGACGAAAGCAGACGACAGAACATGGCTACAGATATGGAAATGATGAGGTGAAAGGAGACAATTTTAGAGAAGAAAATTTTCCCCGTCACTACCCGGATTCGAACCATGGACCTTTGAATGAGAGGCGAACACTTTAACTTTAACCTCTAGTGTCACGGAGGTTTACGTTACAAACACAGCTGAATCTGCTCTAACGGCCACCTGTCCAAGACACTCACCCTGTAGAAACGACCACTTACCACTTCTTCCCTTGCGGATAAAAATTTCTATAATATTATAATGACACTGTTCGGTTGCGAGCGCCGTAAAACCCTGTACTATAAAAAATATAAACACGTTTCAAGAGACGGGGTGAGTATTAATTTTTCGAGACTCACGTTCAGCACGTGGAGACGTCCAGTGCGGTCCAGACAGCCGCATGATGAAATCTACAACAAGTGTACACAAATGTGGGGGCAGGGCGGTGTGGCTGTCTCAAAATGAGCAATTCGGTGGCAAGATTACTGAAAGTCATTTATTTTATTTCGGTTTTGAAAATTTAAAAAGCATGATTCATGATTTGATGAGTAGCATCCATTTAACACCATCTAAACAAGGTGGGGGGGTATGTGATAAAATTGTTTTCGGCACCTAATTCTAGACAAGTCCTATCTCATACTTGATACCGGTATAGATTTCCACATAGATTTTTAGCAAAGTCCTATCAGAGAGGCCGAAAGATTTCCACTTTAGATTTTTTTAAAGCAAAGTTCTATCAGAGATAAGATGCTAAATTTTAAAAGATTTCTACATGTAGGCCTACCGGTATTGATTTTAATTTTTTTTTTTAGCAAAGTCTTGTCAGAGAGGCTAAACTAAATAAGATTTCCAGTTTTAAAGTCCTATCGAAGATGCTTAAAGTTTTTAGCAAAGTCCTTTATAGATTGGAGACATTAAATGATGACAAACTTTCTATCAGAGATGTTACAGCTATATAGGACTTTCACAGCATGTATAGATATCTATACATGTACTATTACTACATGTACTAGCAAAGTCCTATTGCTTATTTAAAGATTTCAGCAAAGTCCTATTGGAGACGTTATAAGATTTTCACTAAGATTCTAGTTGATGTAGTCATATAAGAGAGAGAGAGAGAGAGAGAGAGAGAGAGAGAGAGAGAGAGAGAGAGAGAGAGAGAGGCTAAAACTAAAGGATTTTAACTAAATAAAACGGTGACATGGTATGAGTTTAACGCCCGTATCAACACTATTAGGTCATTTAAGAGGCAGGACCTCCTAATTTAACGTCCGTCTCCGATAGGACCGAGTCAAGAGGGAAATTCGTGTAAAGTGCCTTTCCCAAGGACACAACGTCAGACCGAGCTGAGGCTCGAACCCCCAACCCGCATTACGAGTCCGGTAGCCAAACCACTAAGCTACCGACACCACAGACTTTAGTTAAGTCCCCTATCGGAGATGCCAAATGATGCTAGTGGCAGTCCTATAGGCCTATCTGATAGATAGGATTTCAACATATATTTTAGCTAAATCCAATCCGAAATGTTTAGACTTCCATCATAGATTACATCAAACACACTGAAAGTAAGTAGAAGTAGAAACCTAAAGGATTTTATCAAGGTCCTAAGAGAAAAGCTAAACAAGATTCACACACAGGCCCTGTGTGAGGCGCCAGGGTGAAATCAGGCTCTCATTTAAATAATGAAATCAAAGAAATCGGCATTTTTCTGGCCAATGGTCATTTGTTTTAAATTTTTTTTTTTTTTTTTTTTGGGGGGGGGGAGGTCAACACCTTTTTTGTCCATTTAAAAGGCCATTCCGAGTGGATATTTTTAACTGAAAAACATTGCTATAGGTCAAATGCAAATAATGTAAATTTGCAGTTTCCTAGGACTAGTACACTCAAGCTTTAGAAGTCCTTCAACATCAAGCACCTGCGTTCAATCCCAAACGGGTACTGTATTTTTCTCATCAAAAGGAAGATAAAAGAGCAAGCTTTAAACTTCATGCCCAAAGATTGACGAGCGCCTGATTCCACCGTGACGTGACACATAGATGTACGAAGTATGTGGGTTCTAGAAAGGTCCTCAGAGATGTTCTACAATATAATACGAATAAGGAGCTCAGAGTAACCCAACAGGTAGGCCTATGTTGTTCAACTTTCAACCCAGAGGTCCGCAGTTCGATTCCCGCCAGTCCTTTGGATGTTTTTGGACATGATTTCTACACCTCCTGACTCTGACAGCTAAGGCTATTCGCAGCTGCTAGGGAAAGAAGTTAGTGTTTGTCCACAGCCCAGAGCAAAGATTTTTCCCAGGGGAAAGCAAAAGAAGAAGGAAACAATACATACACAATTTGAGGCATGGACAACAAACTATAACAATTAGCATATCCAACAACTAAAAAGAACAAGCCAAGCAAAACATTTTGGAAAAATTCTATTCATGTACTTTATTACATCTATGAATTCTTATGTTTTATAATTGTTTCTTCTATCCACACAGGGAAAAAATTACAGGCTCATGAATTCGACACTGAACCAAATCTGCTTTAAAAAATAATACACAGTAAAAACTTCATATTGTAAGATTCCATTCAACAAGGTCCCCAACAACAGCATCAATCCAAGACAAAAATAAAACATCGCAGAAGAAGTAAAACAGCACATCTGAACAGAAAGTTGAGACAGAGAGTTTCATCACAGACAGAAAAAAAAGTCCATCAGAGGTCATTTGTCAATTGGCGTTGGAGAAAAAAAATCTCGAACTTTCAGGCCATGTGAAAACATGCACGGGTAGGCCTACTCAAAATTTACCATTCATCCTGTCTTACAACAACTTGTACCAAGGCTTTCTAAAAATTATAAAGTCTATGAAATTAGGCAAAATCCAGACAAAGCCAGAAATATAGATTTCCGGATTAATCTGGATAATCAACACTTTTGGTCCATTACAAGTTCTAAGGAAAAAAGTTTATATGATTAATCCTAAAAATAGAAGAAGAGTCTAAAACTAAAGAGAAGAAAGTCTATGTCTAAACCCCAAAAGACTGGCACATGTGGCGTATGGGTTAAGCATTTAGCTATCGCACACAAGAAACCTGAGTTCCATTCCAGAGTGGGGAAAATATTTATCGAGTAACTCAATTTTTCTGTGTTAACCATGACAGGCAGGGTAAAAAAGCACGTCTCAAATATGACTTAAATTATGTCAATGGAGCCATAAAAGACATAGGAACACAAAAAGTAGGAAAACCGAAAATATACCACACCTCAAAAAAAATAATCCCAAACAAAGGGGGAATAATCAGTGCTATAGCAAATCATGCAACTGCATGATACAATGCAATAAATACTTGTAAGTAGACAGACTACATCAAATAAATCAACAATAATAACTCACAAAAGCTTGTAATACAGTAGAGGCTTTTATATCAAACTGATACTGCCAGCCCTGCTTACCATCAGGTTTTATCAAGGCACAAAACGAAACACTGATATCATAAAAACATACACGATATATTACATTTAAGCACAGATAACTTGTACAACTTGCCATTCCCCGACTGATATCTGTTAAATGCTTCATTGTATTGGTTTATCCGAATTAAGAAAGCGCCAAACACATTTTTGTCGATCTCGGACATGTTTTGAGTACTTAATCTATACCACCCGATAGTATTTCCCCCTTGCCATGCACCTAAGTTGTACAGCCATTACTAAACTACAGTAAACTTTCCCAGCAACACCATCAGTGATCTGACAAGCAGAGGTGCACACTACACACTGTACCCGCTCAGCCACTGCGCTGTGACAATCTCCTTTTTACCATCATATAACTCTGCGAGCTAGCAATCAATGATCATCTCAAGCAGGCAGGGAACCTACAGGCCATCTCACCAGTTTGTACGAAAGGAAATAACTCATTATGACATTTTCCTTAACTTAGTCATGTTAGAGTCATTTCCCTTGATATTGGGCAGTCAGGGGAATTAAACAGAGGACAGCATTAAAAACCTGTAGTGTACTGTTACACTTCCAGCCCCAATATACATGACATAAAAGATAAAATACTAGTTGTGGCAGTAGTCAAAACTTAGATTTAACAATTTGCTTAAAAGAAATACATAACATACATTAAAAAAATACAAGAGGTTCAAGTTTGGACTTCATTCAATACATTAACAAACTACATCCAACAGCTCACATTTTGCACACTTGCCTATAGACCTGTCCCCGTCATTTTATGCAATAAAAAATCTGAAATTATGCAAACTGAGCCAAAAAATGTGAAATTATGCGATTCTGTTAATTTTAACAAAGAATGAAAAAGGAAAATAATCTGAAATTATGCAAAAAAAAGATCAAATTTGGCTAAGTCAAGCCGGGTGCATAAAACCACGGGGACATATAGACTCTCCATTCATCCTTCACACTGGTGAGTGTAGTACTGTGTTGGCCACCCAGCTCAAACCTCTCCACACAGTCTGCTCCTGTTTCAGCATGACATGTGTCTTGTGGTTTGAACAGGGTGTTCACCCTTGCGCCACGATGAGGCCCAGTACTTCCAACTTCTGCAAGGGAGGGGATGGGGAAGGGGAACTGTGGCAGTCTCTGCTGGAAATCCAGCTCAGGCCAGTCTTGGCTTAGGTCTGCTGAGTGGCCACGTCTTCCGGCTTCATGACGGGCTCTCCAGTGACTCGTCCTCTCTTGCCGGTCCAACGTGTCTCTCCGTCCTCTGGAGGAACGCCTGTTTTCAGGTGGACATTTAACACAGTGAAAAGATCGATGAAATCAATCACAACAAAAAAACATCGAAGGTGCCAAATGTTAAACAAAATTAACAATGGCAAAGGCAACCTAAAGTCTAAAGGCAAATTTTGTTCACTTAAATTGTCCCAAACTGGAGTTTCTTTTCTTAGAATCTTGCTTCCTATGAAGTTTGACACTGAATTATTTCTGCATCTCAACTTTGGACAAAGTTCTGCATTTCAAAAATTTCAAAACGTCTTATTTTCCTAAAAGCTCGCAGTCAACTTTTCCTCAACTGGAACAGCCAAAGCTTCCATCTCACAATGTTCTTTTCAACCTCTTCGACATAGATTCCCACTGACGTCAATTGGTTTCTAAGCAGATTTTGACGAGAAACACAAATGTGAATTACTTCCTCTATGAAATAGCACACAAAATATAGCAACACTCACACTGTTCAAAATTCAAGATCTATTCAAAAAGCAAACAGATCTGCACTGTTCAAAAACACACTGTGTAACCTTCAATACTGTTCATCACATAATAAATTTGACGAAATAGCGTCATAAGACAGGCAAAAAGTGCAAAGTATGAAACTGACATAGAGGAGAACGATGGCAAAGATCACTACGCTGTCTTAAACCTTCAGCTTTGTGCTCAGACTGAAGTCTCTACTCTGTGCTCTCAGATGTTTTTCCTTCGAGTCGTCTGAACGCTGCACTGGCTCTAGCAACTGTTACTGATCTCTGTGTCTGTATTGGCTGTTTGAGACAATCTGCAATCACGGTTGGTGAATTTTTCTACAGCATTTGACTCTCTCTGACTCAAACAAAATACGGGACCGCACGCTCTGGAGAGGTACACTTATATGCAAATACGAAGCTCTCCGAGAGGTGGTTACAAAACTATTTTCATCTCTTTTGATACTTTATGCAAGTCCGAAGCTACCACAGGTGCTGGAGAAACAGATAAGCTGATGTTGGCAAAGAGGTGTTCTCTTGTGTTTTGGAGCTCAGAGCACAGTTGTAAGCAAACAGAAGATACCTGATGATAATTTTGAGTACTTTGCCAATAGGCGCAGCTATAAGATGACTGAGCATGAAATAAGCAAACAACTGTTGAAATGAAACTTGTCTACTTTACTGGTCGCTGCCAACCATATGGAAGCAAAATAATTTTTTTTTATCTATAATTTTGTCCCGTGCCCGTTCCTAGCATAGATCTAGAATCTATTATTATAAGAACGCCATCATGAATAATAATCAGTACAACCAGGGGAAGAAAGTTAGTAGGTACACAGTACTAAGAACAAAATAACTGTAAACACAACACAAACAACACCCTACAAATGCTAGACAACACAAAATAGCAAACACACAGAACTTGAACTACGACAGTACCATAATATTATTATTATTATTGTTAGCTTAAAGTATTTTATATCCTAACATCCTCTGCTCCCAAAGAGTCACGAGGCGGGCACTTTCCCACTTTCCCACTCCCTAGTGGAGCAAACCAAATTTAGTTAATCGTCACCAGACAAAAAATAGGCCGAAATATGTGCGCTCAGTCTCATCTACTGCTGACTATGTTAATGGGGATCTACTCTAGGGGCATTGGCAATGGAAAACAACAACATACACACATATATTATACACACATTTGTCTCTACACTATGGCCAGTCAAGTAAACCAAAAATCCCAATCATCAAACCTTTACACAAAATTTAAAACTGCCATCATTTGAAACGAAAAAGATGGGCCAACTACCCTACCCCGTCATACCAAATACAGGCATTCTGGATTCCCTTCCCTTCCAAAACTGAAACCCAATATGAAAGGTCAAAGGTCAGTTCCCCCTTGACCCCTGAACTGTCATATTTGATAACAATATTGGACTTTTAGCCACAACAGCCCACACTTAAAACTAATTACGCATTTTCATATCTACTACAAGCAAAAAAATAAAATATTTAATCTCATGTGTTGCTCATGGATGTCATCCCTTTCTTACCCTCAACTTTAAAAACTGCCCAGCCCCCCCCAAAAAAACTGAGCTGCCGTTGTCTCTGTTACCTGGCTTTCTGAGACTAACGTCTTCAACTTCACTGACTACGAGGGACTGAGCGTCATTTCCCCTTTGACACCCAACCCCTCATACCCAGTTTCCTCTTCAGACTGAATAGCCCCACAACCCCCCCCCCCAAAAGAAAAAAAACAACAACCCAAAAACAATACAACTCCAAGCTGTCAAATTAATCTCAGCCCTTATCATTTATCAATTCCTACAGCTGTCTTTTTCTCCCTCCTCTTCCCTTAAACCCCCCCCCCAAAAAAAACTAAATGTCTTTGTCCCCTTATAATGCTATCAAACAAAACCAATAATCAACGATGACAGACTAAACTTGACTGGCTATACTATACAAGAGGCAAATAAAAGATTGGTGTTAGTGGGTAGTAAAGAAGGTAAATCCTATAGAGACTGGCGCACTTCCTACCACAAATTACTGGTTGTACTAAGGCGTCTTCCCTCTATCTAATATTAATAATGTATGAACTCAAACAATTAACATGAACAAGAGAGTAACAACACCCTCATCTGTACACTGACATACTAGATCAACTACAACATTAAAAAGAAAGCATAAAATGTCTGCAGGTGCCAAGTCATGGACACAAGATAAGTCCCTGAAAGAGAGAGAAAGAGAGAAAAAGGGAAAGAGAGGTGGTGAGGGAGGGAGAGAGCAAGAGAGAGCGAGAGCATTCCCCGCAAAACCCCTCCTATGACCCTTAGTGAACCAGAAAAGTCTGACTCAGTCTGGATTTAATTTAGACATGCATACTAGATCTAGATTCTAATCTAATTCTAGATCTAGAATCTAGGTGCGCAAAAGCCAAAAATACAACCAAATAAAACCCCAAAACCATACACACATCGACAGAAAGATCTAGAATAAAACCTAGGCACACACGGACCCAGACTAACACCACACACTTGCCACATGATACAAACAATCATACAGTACAGTACAGAAGTTCATCAGATTCGGAGATGCAGTGACTTTATCACTTAGATCTAGGACCTAGCGACTTAGCCACCATCTTGTCCTTATCCCTTCATCGGTTTTCTCCGCAGCACATCATACAAAGCTATAACCTGTCCACATCTACTTCCCGCAGCCCACCTAACCTCTCTCCTTGCCACCCGCCTCAACCAGTCTCTGTACCATTCCGGCCCTCCAGCCAAAGGAGTGACCATTGGCTCACCTTCACTAGAGATATCTACCTCAAACAACAGCCGCTCTCCTTCCAAATCCAAACCCACTAAGAAATCATCACTTCTCACCTCAAATCCCAGGAACATGACCGGTCCTTCCAGGCCATAGAACTGGCCTTCCTCCACGTCAAGACACTCCCCTATATCTGCAAGGGATTCATCTGTGAGAAGAGACGAAAAATTCCCCATGGCGGCGGCAAAGACAAAGAGAAAGCAGGTCTCTTCTCCTTCAGTTCAGGAACGACTCGATCTCTGGAAGACTAAGACACAAAAGATCGACGTGAAATCTTCAGAAAAGCGACTCGACAGCCAATGCGTCAACACACTTCAAACAGAAGACACCTTTTGCAACTCGCTACTAGAGCAAAATGGCGATCAATGTGAGAGAAAGTGGACATCCGCTCAAAGATTTTTCCAACAATTCCCCTTGGTAAAATACACCGGAAGTTGTATGAAAAGCGAATATCGGAAGTTCCTCAAGTAAGAGGCAAAAAGACATTGTTCCCAAAATAATAATAATTTCAACAATAACAAAAATAATAATAATAATAATGCTATCAATGATAAATTGCACGTTTATCGATCTTCGTTTCTCTCGTAAATTTTAAAAAATTCAAAAGACTGGCAAACATAAATTTTAATGATGCACAATTTAATTTTGTTTATTAAATGG